GCCTGGCCTGAAAGAAATATCTTGACCTTTGACCAATCTTGGGTCCCAATGACAAAAAGTTAGCATTGACAGCAGGTTGGGGGCTTTATGAAGTTGCCCTTTAAGACATCTTCTCTGGGTGTCAGAAGGGAAGGAAATACTTGGAAATAGCTTGCTGTGTACAAAGGAAAAAGTACCTCTGGTGGAGATGAGGGCAGCTTCACTCTGTTCACTTGTCCCAAATGCATTGATGGCTCTCACGTAAAAAAAGTAATTATCATTGGGTTGGAGGTTAACTTTCAGCTGGAGTCCTTTAATTCCAGAGAAAGATCTAAATACAAAATGAAAATAATAATTTTAAATATAAGGCCATCTGCTAAATGACTCATATTTCAATTCTGTAGTGAATGAATATATGTTATTAACAACAAATAACTTATTTTATTCCCTTTTTATGACCACTGGAGGTAGCAACCCAGATTCTGCAAAATGGCCATTGTGCGCTACAATTACTTTATCAGATCATTTCTATTTTCGTCAACTTTTGTCCAGTGTGTGTCTTCCAGAATGGTCTTTGGAACAGAATCAAATTATTTTTCTTTTAATTCAGAAAACAAACTGATTTTGTGGTTAATGAATCTCCAAGAACATATTATTTTCTTTATCAATTTTTAGCTGAGAGGGCACTTTTGGATTAAGATGTTTCATCAATCTATAATACATAGTACCCCAATGATCTCATTAATAGATCCAAAGTATGGAAAATTTAGGGTAATGATTTCCCACATGATCATCATGCCAAAGCTACTAAAGTTAATAGAAACTGAATATCTTTAAAGAAGACACTATCTTTAAAGCAACTTGATCCTTGCAAGAAAAGAGAATTCTAAATGCCAAAAAAAATCCTCAAAGTTGCTGTTTCTAAATCACCTATTTAAATTAAAAGAAAAGTGCTAGTATCTAATTGGCAGTGGGCTTGCTAAGTGCACTGTAACAACCCAACCAGTTAAATGCAAATAGACTCGCTGGATTTGAAGATGGCGCTCTCTGGATTTGCCAATGAGCTGCAATAGTTTTGTGCTTCTTTTTCATTCTCTTTAATCTGCTTGATATCATGGCCTAGAGCAATGATACCAAAAAAAAAAAAAAAAGGCAAAGCATTCAAGTGCTCTTTCTGTAAGCCTTCTCTGGGAGAGGCTGTGAAGAGAATTACAAGTTAGACTCCTGGCTGATGAGAGAATTCCTAACCTCAGTGCTAGAGAACTGGATTCCTGCTCCTGGGAGTATGCAGTGCATAATGGTCAACGGAAATAATAGCACAATGGCCTTCAGGTCCATTCTCAGAAAAATAGCGGTTTCTATTTGTTTTGTTTTGCTATTAATGAATACACCACAAAAGCATTAGAATCCAAGAGTGGTCACTGTTCATCCACAGATAGATTTTTTTTTTCCACGTTATTTCTACTTTTGCTCAGTTATTTCACTTCTCAATACCTGCCTTAGAGAATAGCATGGAGAACCTGAAAAAGGAAAAAGGATAATTGACTCAGAAAACAAACTACTTTAGAACTTAAGGTAGAATAACCACCCCACCCACCTCCACCCCAGGTCTACAAGTACAGAACTCACTGGGTGTTCCTTAGAAGGAAGTGGGGAGGGGAGCAGCCTGGATCTATTTGTGTCTCTGCTGTTTAGTGCCTGTGTCTGGAAAAGGTCAGTCCGAACACCTCGGATCATACTGGTTGTTATTTCAGAACCTGTCACCTGACAAGACCCTCAGGAGAGGACTATCTTTAGATGCACTGAGAATAGATCGATGAAATTGAGCCGCACGTCCACTGACAACTAATTATGCTCCAGTTAATTAATGAAAAAACATGCCCTATGACTGAGAAGGTAATTCCTGACTATCTAAAATATTACGCTGGGGTAGATGTATTGCTTATCTTATCTGAATTGATGATTGAAGAAATATTTTAAATGTACATTAATTATAATTAGTGACGAAATGATTGCCTCAATAAGCACACTCAGCTTGAACTGAATTTTAGACTTCACTCACTCATTAAATACATATTTATTGATCACTATGCCCAGGCCCTATTATCCTGAAGCCTGAGGGGAAAGTGAAAAAGATTGGTGAGAAAGTTTTTGCTCTAAAGACTAGATAGAACATACTGGCTTCATTTTGTAACAATACAGTTGTTAAATACCAAAAATGCTGTTTTTTTGTTTTTTTGGTTTTTTTTTTTAGGTGTTTGCCCTTAAGATTTATGAAGTCTATCAAGGAGTAAATTCCATATATATAGACAACTGCATGCTATGTCTCATTACTTGTTTAAAGAATAAAGGTTTATGTGGTACTGAAGTCAAAATATGGAATCAGTCCTGCTTTCAGTGCACTAAACAGGTCATGCAGATTTGACAGACATGCACAACGCCCCAGGCATGAAAACAAAAGTAATACCACATGTGGTGGTGTTTTATTGTTTAAAAGTTGCCATCTTATGCTCAAGCATCGAGAACTAAATGAAAAAGATCAGAACAAATGGTTTGTTTCCATGCCTGTTTATTCTGACTCTACTTAGATGTCGCCAAAGTCTCCATGACAGCTGTCCCTGCTTTTTAGCCAAAGGAAAACTTCAAGAATTTTGGAATTTGAGATCTAAAAAATGGCACCTTTCCGGAGGTTATGATTTCTTTATTTAAAAATCAAAAACCTGTCATAATTGCAATTAAATCCACATGACTTATAACAAACATTGCATAGTTTGCAGAAAAAATCAAGTTCCCCAGAGTATCCAAAATGAAAGTAAGTGGTCCAATAACAAATGAAACCACAATAGGTTGTTGGTGCTCAGTTAAGAAGGGATTTTAGACCAGTAAATAATATGACTGCCATGACTACGATTAGAAGTCTAGAGTCAATAATAAAATTCAAAAGTTAATAGGAAATTTGAATCAAATGGTCTCACTTTGGGTCATAAGCATGGGATTTTCCCTACGAAAGCCACAGTGCAGTGGAAAGGGATGGCTTTGGGTGTGCAGCTTCTGAGATGTGAGGGCAAGAAACAGCACTAGAAATCCCGACACACTGGCAGATCAGCGGATTGCTGATGGAGCATAAACACACGTGGAGTTGGAACTTAGCACAGAGCTCTGTGCCCAGCAGGTCTTCAAAGACCTCAACCTGCTTTTTCGTTACGCTCCAATACCGTAAAGCAGAGAGAAACGACTGAGAGGCTGACTCACTTTCTCCTCAAGAGTCTGAAGGTCTGCCATGCAAATGGGAGACTGGTTGGTTTCCTTCTCTGTTGTTTCAGAGGGAAAATGAGAGGAAGGACTCAGGAGGCTGATGACTGCCCAATGTAAGGGAGGCCTTTCCAGCTTGTGCCCTTTCAGTCTTTAGCTTTTGCAAGGAGTGATTGCAAAGTTTGCCACACCACAACTAACCACGGACAACAGGGCAAGAACCATTCTAAGTAGGAACTGAAAAGGACCTTTACAAAGTAAAAAATCAACAGAAACATAATGTTTAAGGGGAAAATACTAAGAGCATTCACATTAAGTCAAAGAGAAACATGAAGTTAAAAAAATTGGGGAGGTAGGAGGTAAAATTACTACCATTTGTAGATGATATGACTGTTTTATCTAGTAAACCCAAGAAAATCAGCTGAATGCTTACAAAATCTGAGATTTCAGTAAGATGGCTAAATATGAACCTAATAAAAAAAATCAAAAGGCTTCATACATAAATAACAACTAGATAGAAAATGAAAGACTTTTTTTTTTTTTGAGACAGGGTCTCATTCCATTTCCCAGGCTAGAGTGCAGTGGCCTCATCGTACTTCGCTACAACCTCAAACTCCTGGGCTCAAGTGATCCTCCTGCCTCAGCCTCCTGAATAGCTGGGACTACAGGTATGTGCCATCATGCCTGGCAATTTTTTTTTTTTCTAGAAAAGGAGTCTTGCTGTGTTGCCCAGGCTGGTCTTAAACTCCTGGCCACAAATGATCTCCTGCCTTGGCCTCCCAAAGTGCTGGGATTCCAGGCATGAGCCACTGTGCCCAGCTGAAAAGTCTTATTTAGAATAGTGACAAATATTTAAAAAGTATAAGATTCACATGAAGAACATTTTTTAAAATACTATTGAGAGAAAACACAAAAGACTTGAATAAAGGGAAAGGTACATCAGTTCTTGGACAGGAAAATGCAACATCACAAAAATTTCGATTCTCTCTCAATCTATAAATTTATCATGATCTCTGAAAATAACACATTGTCAGGGGTAGGCTGGTGGAGGAAGCTATTGGAGCTGATTCTAAAGATCATATGAAATACAAACTAGCAAATAGGGGAAAAAAGTCATGAAGGGGCAACCTAATCTATCAGGAATTCTAAATTATAAAGCCATAATAATAAAAACAGTGTGGTCCTGGGGCATCTATAGATGGATCAATGGAACAGTTATAATATAGGCCAGGAATAGAGCTAACCATCCAGTCTGTTGAGTATGTAATGATGGAAGCATTTCAGATCAGAAGGGAAAATGCTGGGTGTTCTTGCTGGGACAGCTGGATAGCCACACTAAAAAAAAAATAGAGTTGGATTCCCTACTTCACACTTTCTACTAAAATAAATTCCAGATGATAAAATATCTAGTTTTAAAAAATTAAATTACCATATTGGCTACTATCAAAAAACACATGGGAACACACATACTCTTGGGGGGAGGTACATTTTAAAATATGACACAAAAATTTGAAAGCTATTTTCAAAGGAGATTGATACATTCAACTATATTATCATTTAAAAATATGCATGGCAAAAAATATCAAAAAAGATTTGCAACTCATATCACACATGAGAGCTAACTTCCTTAAAAAAAAAAAAAAGGAGCCTCTACAAATCAATAAGATAAAAACACCACAATCCAACAGGGAAAAAAACTGATAAAGGAATTAAATAGTTCATAGAAAAAGAAGTACTATACATTCCTCTAAAACATATGAAAAGCTCTTTAACCTAATAATATCAGTGCACCATTAAACTACAATAAGATTCCATTTTTTACCTACTAAATTGTGGAAGATCAAGTTTTATCGCACCAAGTATAGGCAAAGGTATGAGGAACCAAGCACACTCACAGCCTGCTAGCTGGAGTGTGAGCAGCTACAACCTCTATGGAGACTCTTTGGTAATATCCATCAAAATTCACAATGAAGACACCTTTTGACCAGTCATTCTACTTCTAAGAATTTAATCTAAAAACATATTTGTGGGTGGGGGAAAGGCGATATATGTAACCTAAACATTTGTACCCCCATAATA